GCTTTGCTTTGCTTTGCTTTGCTTTGCTTTGCTTTGCTTTGCTTTGCTTTGCTTTGCTTTCACCATCTACATAGTGTTTCAAACTACAGACGATTGTTTGTTTGTTTGGCAGCACCACTATAGATTGAGATCTGAGGTCTGAGAAAACATCATGATATTATTCTTAATAATATTATGACCAAAGCCATGCTGTGTTTTCTTTGCCCCAGTCCGAAGGAAATGTAGGAACATCAACCCGACGAAGATGTGCTTTGACAAAACACGAGTGTATTGACTTTTCGTCGCTCGTACAGCGATATGTACCGATGATTTGATGGGGGAGAGATAGAGAAGTGGAAGAAGAAGAAGAAAAAGAAGGGCAACGAAAAAATTCTGTCATTTTGAAATATTCTTCATAACTGACGGTTGGTCGGAGACCCGAAAACCCTCGCGGGGCCAAACAAGTCCATCCTTCCCACCCACCCCAGGGGTAGTTTCGGGAGTTTAAGCAAAGACAGCAAGGCTAATTAAGACGCCTGCTTTTCCAATTCATTGTTTAACATACAGGTCTTTATAAACACATTGAATTGACTGTTGACCCATTTTATACCCACATTTGGATCACTGCTGGAGCGCTTGACCTTACGGCTGCTGTCTGCGCCGACAACCACCGGTCTTAAGGTGGCTTGATTGCTAATATTCGCCTTTACTAATTCATTCTATGGATGAAAAACTACACACGTACTAATGTGTTTTAATATTGGCCCTTGTAGTCAACCCACATATATATATTTTGTAATTATGGATATATTACTCCACTCAACTTCCAAGTTTTTCCAAGTTTTTCCAAGTAACCTGAAGTTGTTTCGCCTTTTGAGTAATAAAAATATTTTCCAGAGCGTTTTACAAGGCTGAGCATGTCGAGGTGCATTCCTATACCCATTCAAATTTCTTTTAATTTTATTTATTTATTTATTTCATTTTTTTTTTTTTTTTGACAAAATTTTTTGGGGAATGGCTGCGTAAGATTTACACTTTACACTTTATTAACACTTTACAGCTTATTTGATTAAGACTTTATTTTTAGTAAAACTACCGAGCAGTGCTTTAATGATCTTAATTTATTGAATAATTAAATCACAAAAAAAAMCCCGCGTTTTAAGGATGAAGAGTTCTACTTTCAACCTTGAAAATCCGGGCTATGAACTTGCTTAAGGCGCTTATTTGTTTTCAAAATGAGATTGCAATTATTTTTGGGGGACAAAAATGCAGTATTTATATAGGCTTGTTGCGCTCCAAAAATCATCAATAGTTGAACATGTGCGATTCTCTGAAGTTACAGGTCGTATGAAGGGGCGTTACTAGATGTGACTGACTGCCTTTCTATCAAATGACACCTGCAGATGATAATGATCAAAGAGCAGAACGACTACTCAATATGCAATCTGCAGAGGCCACTCTTGAAAATCAACGATATTTTCAAAGCTGCAGACTACGCGATACAAAAAATTTTTTCAACCAACATTCACAACGTATCCTCTAATGCGCTTTTAATATTAACAATTTTGTCAAATCGTTATTAAAAAACTAGTTACCTGTGAATGAAGGCTGTTATGGTCTAATGTAAAACACCCAGGGGCATAGAAAACTATCCTTTTCGGTGTATGCTATACAAAGCAAGCCTGATAAAACAACGACTGCCACAACAAGCATCGTTAAACAGGGATTTATTCATCATTTTACCATCGCGTGAGTGCAGTTCACAGGCTGCTCGACAAAACGAAATATTTACTTTTCATTTGTTTTGCTAAACGTATCACGATTGCATTAAATATTTCCAGCAGTATAGGGTTTAAAAAAATAAATGAAAAATTTTTTTCATCGAGTTTGGATACAGGAATCTGTGTTTTTAAGGTGATATTTTCTAGGCGATTTGCAGGGAAACCTTTTGAGTTCATTTAGTTTATGAATATTAAGCGGCTGTCGGAGTAAATCATTTATGGGATTTGTTATTTATCGAATGCTTAGGGTCAAATATTTCGGAGACTGAAGGACAGACGCAAATACTAATTATAACGTCTGAGGGAGTACACTAGAGACATCTGTCGACGTCGAAGATTAACATGAAGGGCTCTGCAGTAAATATATGCGCGTTTTTGTTCTCTTCTCTTTTGTAATTCATGAACCATTGTTCATTAAAGCCTTTATGATAGCTTGTAGGTAATAGTAATATGCTTGGTCGAGCAAGAATGCAGTCTTCATCGGCGCCATGTGAGTAAAAGAACACAGATCGAAGCGCTTGAATCTCATTGGTCAGCTAGATGTTCCACTTATATGCAAATTTATGAGCGAAATAAAGGAATGCGGGGGTGAACCTCACGTTAGTCCATCGTCTCCCTCTGTTGTACTCCGGTGTAAAGCTTAGTGGTTGTCGAGGGCAAACTCTTGTCAACCAGATAGAATAATTTGCTGCATATTTAACCATCAAAACATGGAAAAAACATTAGTTGTTTTGCTATCTATGGCTCTAATTGGAGCAACAGTTGCTCAAGGTATGTAACGTGGCTGCTGTCTTGTATACAATTTGGGCCTTTCCCTACATGATCATGCTATGCTGTCTGTACAACCGGCTTTTTGACTGAAATCTTTTTCGACCCAAATCTATAAAGACGATGTTCATAAAAACCTCCATGCGACGACAACGATGTATGTTTACCGTAAAGTTTAGTTTATTTTTACTCACTTTATGTATAGAGTTCAAAATGGATTTTTAGCTTACCTCGTGTCACGCGCGAAGCCAGACAGCTCGTGTATCAAGTTGCATGTATTATTGGGACTGTTTCTCGAATTTTGCCCCGTTAATCCATCTAGCTACTAGATTTCTGTTCCCTCGTAAGGCAGTATTGCAACTGTCTGGAATTCCACACATCGTCTGTATATCCCTATTAAGTTTCGCTTGAGAATCGTTTTAGAATTTTTAACATTTCTTTACTCAGCAATCGTGCAAGGATCTGATCACGCACATTAGTACATATCCCCCGTGGAAAATCATTCAATCATTCAATGAAGCCACGAAGCAACAGATCAAATATAGCAAAATTTTGGGGCCGCTATTACAAATTTTTTTTTTACTTAAACACGAATGTTTCACAAGGTTTTACGCATTGAATCGAAACGAAGTTAATTGGTATATATTTGCTCTCGCCCAGCCAAGCCATTACTCTTAAACTAATCTTTTAAGAACCATAAAAATGAATACATTTAGTCAGGGACCTTAGACTAACGACAGAGGCCACGGGTGTGGCGATACTACTCAACTATGACTTATTAATTTTGATTGACGGTTTCTTCTAGAAGTTGTTTAAGGATTTTAACGTCGCAAGTTGTTCTCGCAACTTTGACTTCATTTATAGAATTAGGACACTTTATTATTATATAAGGTTTTGCAAGATAACATCTTGAGTGCCTCCTCGGGGTTATAGACCAATAAACAAGACACATTTATCTTAATGGCGCCTTGCTTTTATAAATCACTCAATTAATTATCGGGGTCTTGGTTTTTGAGAATGAATGGGTAAACAGTTTGTTAAATCTTTTGTTTCCGGTGTCTTGTTGTTCGCTACACTTCAATACAGCCCACGTTGTAGGGTGTCTAAGTTCGATCACCAGGATTTCTGCATTCAACGGGAGGGCAACGACCATGTGGTCTATAAATACTTTCGCAAGACACTTGTAAAGCAGTTCGCTCCTATGATTCTAGTCTAAACACCCAAACAAATCTGTCAATAAGTGAAGTTATGCGAGCAATTAATTTACATAGAGCTGAGACTGTATAATAGATATCGTTATGCTGCTTTCCCAAGGGCTCTATCTATTCTTTTAAATCATTCTTTTCCCCGAAGGAATTGATGAAAAGCGAGGCTTAATTAACGAGGGAGGTGTGAATTAACTGAGCCCCACTGCTTCAAATTGGTTAAACAATTAAGCCTTCTTTCATCTTTGTTTAAAGTCTTAATTAGATGTAAATTCCTGCATGGCGTTCGTTTGTGTTTTGGTGAATCAAAGAGCCCTTTGTTTAGATTTTCGCGCGGTTCAGCGAGCAGAAAGAAAGTTCAAACTCAACCTTTTATAAGCTTTGGATAGAGCATTTCCTGATTCTGAGATACTTGCTTGCGAAGATGTGCTTTTCCAACATTTTAAAAAAACATTTTTTGATAATAAATTTAAACTAGAAATTATATGGTAGGCCATTGGTTCAATCCCCATCAGGGCTTGGATTTTATCGCAAATTCCCTTGAGCTGCGGGCACACGGCGCAAAATTGCTCGCAATGTTGCAGACAATCGATGTTGCGAGCCGTGTTAAAGTAGAAAGCGATCCTACTTAATTCAGCATGCACCGTGCTTCGCTGTGACCCGATAAATAATTCCATCTCTTAAATTAAAATATTTGATTAGTGTCATGTCGTCTTCTTCTTTTCCTCTTCCTTCTCCTCCTTCCTTAGTTTGTGGAAAGGACAAGGTAAGAGAAGAAGTAAGATAATCTATTATATGGCAAGATGATTTTTCGTGCTTTCATTGGCCAATTTGCGGTCCATAACTTACGGTACGGACCATCAACCCTATTTTGTGTTCCCCTTGCTATAAAATAAACCTCTTACTAACTTCGCGCTCAGTAAAAAAGAAGTATGTGTTTCTTATTATTTGTTGCTGTATGTATTTTTTATTATTTATATTGGTTTGGAATTTCTTTACAGAAACAGCAACACCTGCTCCTACTACAGCAGCACCTGCCGCCACAGAAGCGCCTACTACGACAAAAGTGTTAGAAAGTTACGGTAAGTGGACAACTTCAAAGCCCACACGGAAAATATTAGTCTCTGTCAGAATAGTCATGTTTCAATTTAGTCAAACAACATCAACATGGGAACTGGATTTCTTTTTACTTCTTTTTTTAACTGAAAAAAATGGGACCTATGCACTTTTTAGTAACATTTAGCACAGAATTCCCCCAGAGGTCATCATTAGGGCCAGATTAAAGGGTCTAGGGATGGAAATCAGATCAACTATATATGATTATGAAAGGGTTAAGGTGTTGGGTCGCAGGTAGGTGAAATGAAAATAGGTTTGGGGATAGAGTAATGGGCTTCAAACCGGTAGGTTGTACGTGAAGGGTGATGTGTTAGGTGGGTAGGATTCTGGGTTGGAGGTAGGTACAAGCTAGGGGAGTAGGTTTGGGGGATAGAGTAAAGGGTTAAAATGGGTCAGAGGTGCGTGTTGGACGTAAGGCTAACGTCCCCAAACTCTTCCCCCTGGTGGTTGCCTGTTTGTACTTATCATATGTAATTCTTCAGGTTTGACTGTCACCTGCACAAGTCAATACATGGAAGCCCGTCTGGACATCACCAAGCACACGGGAATACGAACCGACACCGTTGCCCTAGAAGACCGAAACTGTGGAGTAACAAGAAGTGAAAGGGACTTCTTATACTTCAGAACTGCACTCGATGGCTGTAAGACAAAGCACAACACGACATCCGATAGCATTGTCTACTACAACTCGATCTACGCCGACACCGGTTCAGGGTCCAACAGTGATAAGATTTCTCGTGCCATGCAGGCGGAGTTCCCATTCAAGTGCACATTCCCACGAGCAGCCATCCTCTCTGTCGTCTCGTTTTCTCCAAGACGCAAGGTCGTCTACACCAGGGCTTGTAAGTAGACCCAAAAGGCGTGACACACATATATGCCCAATATCACCGACATTTTAAAGACGCTTAGTTCATAAGCTACTCTCGTGTTGAACTTGACCCGGATTTCGTGCATTTTATTCAAGATTAACTCGCAACAATATTTACGCGCTGATATAGACTGAATTAATAAAGGAATGAATTCTCCTCACTGCATGACATAAAAACTAAATACAAAGTATCATTTGAAATTACAAACGACTCCCTTGCCTACTAATGCTATCAATATCGAGTATTTTTTAATCAATAAATTCCGATATACCTTGCGCCTAGAGTATCAAGCAAATGAAAAATTTCTCATAGTAAAATGTTTTCTCATTTATTTTAGCTGACTTTGGTAACTTCACATTCTACATGGACTTGTATCAGACCAACAAGTTCGAGAAAAAGTACGAAGACTACCCAGTTCAGGTGAACCTGAACGAGCTTCTCAACATCAAAGTTGGTGTCCAAAGTAACGATTCTAAGCTGGCGATTTTCGCTGATGATTGCTGGGCTACACCAACTGAGAAAGCTGATGACAAGGACAATACACACACGATCATCGATGGCGGGTAAGTTTTCAATAGATCAATGTGTCTTACAAAGCTGTCGTACACGGCTTACACGGGTGTCCGTAGCTCTCTGTTCTCTTACAGTTTCGCCATCTCTCTCTATGCCTGTCTGTCTTTCTTTCCCTCCAAGTGGCGTAGCGAGAAGGACAACCCAAAAGTTTTACTAAACACGTGGATTTGGCGGGAAACTCTAAAGATGAAACGCGTGTGCGTGTGTATTGGCGGGAAAATGGTTCACCTCCCATTCCCTATGACCAAGACCTCTCCATCTCTCTTCGACCTCACTTGACAAAATAAAAAAAACATATTAATGAATCATGTTCCACTACAGATGCAAGAAAGACGATACCCTTCTCTACAAATTCAAGCCCAACAACTCTTCTCAGAACTTCCAAGTCAGAGCCTTCCGCTTCGTCACCGGCCGTACCAACGACGTCTATCTTCACTGTAGAGTCGAGGTTTGTCGCGAGGGAGACGACAATTCCAACTGTGTCAAGGGATGTCGAGCTGGTAGCAGAAGGCGTCGTTCTCTCGTCTCTGACGCTTCTAGTGAGACTCTCACCATTGGTGTGATCAAGCTTACTCAGAATGCCAACGCTCAAAGCGGTAAGTCAAAACGAAGTCCTTACAAAAGTCAGCGGTAGAGCGAGAATTGTGGCTTGTGACACTAACCATTTGCAAATATTTTTAGAGCAAAGACAGCGTGTTTCTACTCGATACATGAACGCGCAATCTCTCACACAAGAGACAAATGTAAAGGCAACACCTTCTTGGACATTGAGTGTTGGTCTGACCGTGGCTTTAACTCACAACCTGTCATTTAGCAGAAAAATGCAAACGCGAGACTTTCATAGCGGATATAAGAACCCCTGGCTATTGAACCGCGAAAGCAGACAAATTTTCACAACCAACTGAGCCACCCAGGTGACAATTGATTTAATCGTTCTATTTTCTTTTTTCAGCCACTGGAAATGCGTCATCTTTTACCACCATCAGCATCATCGCTGGTGTCCTTGGATTCCTGGTAATTGCTTTGGTAGCCGTGCTCGTGGTTGTCTACAAGAGGCGTCAAGCTACACCAGTCAACGTGGTCTTCAAGAAGGTTTCTGGTAATGAAGCTGATCAACTGATGGCCTAGAACATTTCTTCCTGTACGACATGGTTTATTGTTTTGTTTTTTGTCTTTTAGTCCTCATAATGTTTTTCTTTTCGTTTGTTACTTTCCCCTTTGATTTTCATTTAACCTTCTCCCCGTAGAAGCGTTTACATGAAGCTAGGACGGCTTACGTGTCAGGGAAAAGTTTTAATCTTCTCTCTTCTAGTAAAGAAAGAAAATTAAAGACTTTCCCAAGAAACTACGCTGCTCCACGTTCCATGTAAGCAAAGTTCTGATGTATAGGAACAACTACCAAGTGTCTTCAAATACGAGAGGCATTGTTTTGCAAGTGAACATTTTCTCGTTTTTGAATTCATCTATGGAAACGTCGGTTCCTAAAGGTATTATTCTTAGTGTTTAAACATATTATTGGGGTGACGTTCAAGCGTCTTAATAGTACCACGAACTCATAGATGAGCTGAATTCAAAACTAAGCCGTTTTTTTAGTTGCGCTTTCTCGACGCAAGATTTAAAGGAGCAAAATTTTCCATATTTTGTTTTTTTCGGAAAAGGAAGCTGTTTTGAAGTCTATCCATTTTTGATTAGGTACTTTTTAGCGCTAGAACGAATATTTTACTTTTTTATATCATTTAGTAATTATTTTAGCCATGCATAATCAATTCCTAGCATAGTGAATATTCTATCGATCATTAAGATGTATCTTTAGTGTTAAGGCTTTTCTAAGGTATTTTTAACTGGGATTTTCCAACGGAAATAAATCGCTATATCCGTATATATGTTAGCAGTTAAACCTTTAAACCTAATAATTGTAATCCCAGGAACAGGGATACTTAGACTATTGTTTAAGATAAAAACAGCTGGTTTTAGGTTTTGTAATTTGTATAATAAAAGGACTGAAGTAAACTTTTTATTTGAGCCAATGATGAGTTGGTTTTCTTCCTGAACTTGCGAACGTTCCAATCTTTCCATTTCAAGTCATTCCGATCCCTTTAGCATAACTCTTTGCCATTTATCTTATCGATAGTGCTTTATAACTAGAAAACAGAATTTTATATTGAAATGGAATTAACAGGGTACGAGAAATCGAAGAGTATCCCTACAAGCAGGGTCTGGAAGCCGTATTCGGGGAACCGGGAAAGGGATAAGATATAGCGCGCGATCCGGTAAACTAGAAAGAAATCTGACTTGAATAGGAATACCAGTGGCATCGACCGTGAAGCTCGAGGATAAAAAGATTTAGATAGTTTAGCTTAAGCTTATAATTGTTTTTGTGCTTGCGTCGTAGTGAAAACGAAACTTTTGCTTGCATGCACTTGTGCTTCGTCTGCTATAGTAAAAACCTTGGTTAAAAGCTTTGATCAGTTATTGAGAGATTTTTCAAACTTGAACGCCAATCGGTGAGGAGATTAAGCATTGTTTTTCATGACTGTTCGATCTTTTGCGGTTTCAACAAAAAACTAATAATTTTTACCATATCTCAATCATGACCTTGCCTATTGTATTCCCTCGCTATCTCCCTCCCGCTTTTGTCTCTCTCCATCTTTCTTTCTCTCTCTCCCACTCTCTTCACGGAAGAATCCTTCAAAAATAAATAGTATTATTTTTAATACTAAGTTAGATGTTTTAAAACTTTGTATATAATTGTAAGCTAATTTATATTGTTTTTACATAAAGAATTATATTATATATTGCTACACATGGGTTTATACCAGCTGGTTGTCTCTTCAGTGCTCCAGCTGATCCATCTTTGTAGGATAAATAAAATTATTGATTGATTGGTTGAACTAACTCCATTGAGGTTGGCACAAGCGAAAGTAACATTCCATTTGCATGACAACCTGACAAATCTCTCTACATTGCATGTTTGTGGTAATCCAAAAGATTAGACAGAACCTTCTAGCATGAATCAACTAATCATTCCTAAACCTTGAAATATTTGGTGGTGTCTGACCACTATTACGCACTGGCTTTTTTCTAATACGCTTTGGATATTAGCACTGAAAGCTTTTTAATTCACTTATAAGCTGTCTATTATAGATATCTACTTTATGAGAGTAAAACCAAAAACTTCGTCGATCAAATGAATTAATAATGATGTACAAATGGGAGGCATCTGGTCGCATATTCATTGAAGCCACGATCTTACGATCATGTGATCCGAGTTATAGTTAATTTTTCTAAGGCATTTTACACCAAACGGATACTTGTAGAAGGGGTACCATTAAAGAGTGGTAAAGAAAGGCAGCCACGGCTAGCTCCTTTCTTTCTTTCTGTTAAAAAGAGTATAGTCCACTTGTAGGACTATAGATAGGTTCCTACCCTTATTCATAATTCTATCTTCTATAATGGTAGTATGTGTGTGTGGTGTACGTGTGTGTGTGTAGAGTATTTTCTTAGTATTTCCTGAATTTGTCCTAGAAAATTGTAAAAGCCCCATTTACTCTTTCTAAATCAATACCTGTTACTTGGTCCTAACTGAGTTTTAGCTTTTGAGTTATTTGTTATTAGGGTCAGCATCTTTATTCTTTTGAATTATTATTTTTTGTAAATATTATCGTAATAGTTGTTATTCTAGGTAC